ATCTCCACTTTCTCCATCAATGACCAAAAGACCTTCTCCTTCTGACGTTGAGCATCCGTCATCAAGAACTGCCATAATCTTTTCCACACATGATGATCTCAGCTTTCTCTTCTCTTGATCGACGCTCACATAGGGGATGTAGTCTTTGACGGTCATCTCGATGATGTTGCCATTGGGATCCAACATGAATGGGGTTCTTCCAGTCGGCCACACAAATGAGTAACCAAGATCGACGCATCGCTTTCCCATGGAGAGCACAGAGGGCGTGTCCTCCAGGATGTGGGCTTCTGCTGGTTCATTGAATGCCTCGAACTTGATGCTTGAACGTTTGGTCGAACATGTCACCCCATTCGCTGTATGGAAGTTGACGACCTTATCATCATATGTTGGGAGATCCATTCTATTAATTCGTGTGGATGAAATGAGATCATGACCACTTCCGGAATCCAATATGAATCTCTTATCTCTCTCCTCAACAGGAACAGTGATACACATTGTGTTGCCCCTTTTACCATATCGGCCTTTAATATGCTGGACATAGTTCTCCACAAAAACTTCCCTGGACACCTCATCGTCCTCAATGTCGATTCTGATCAGAATGTCCATACTGGGGCCGACGATGACCAGGACTTCATCAATGTCACTGTATTCACCCTTCTCATCGATCAGGATAGCCATTGCTTTCCCTCGGCTCGAAGCTAACCTGCATGAATAAGACCATTGTTCATCTTTCCTTATCTGATCAGTGGGCTTGCCAACTTTACCATGACCTTTGGGAGTAGTTTGAGATTTCCGGTTGCACTTCACGAAGTCCTTCTTCACGTAAGTCTGAACGGTATTGTTAGACTCATTGAATCTGACCTTCTTCTTGATCACGTTCGATGCAACCTTGTGGAACGTCCCTTCATCATCACTCCAATCATGGATAAGTGCAGGTGTAGCCTTTGAGCTCGGTGCCTCAGTGTTTGGAGCAGTGTTGAATAGATGAGGATCGTGGCGTTTGTTGCATTTGTCTCCATACCGACACTTGCCCTTGGCCCAATGCCAGCATGGCTCATCAATCTTCTTGGTCTTGTTTGCAGGAGATTGACTTCTTGGAGTTCCTGGCTTTCGACCGTTGCCTTTAGCATTCTTGTTTGCATCGAACACCTTTTGGTCGTGACTGTATTCGCAATCTTTGCCCTTTCTGCATGCTTTCTTGATGAAATGGAAATGGCACGGGATTTTCTTCTTGGATCTCGGACTGGCACTTCGGCTGTTTGCTCGATCCTTTCCTTTCCCTTGACCTTTTCCCTTCCCTTTTGCATGCTGCTTAGGCTGAGGAGATGGTAGAACCGGAGCTGCATCGGCCTTGGCCTTCGCCTTGGGTGCTGCCTTCTCCTTGGGAGTAGCCTTAGGCTTTGCTTTTGGGTTCGCATCCGGTGCAGCAGCAGTCGGATTTGGCGCAGGAGCTGAAGGTTTGCCGCCACCTGCAAAATCTCTTGCATACTTTTCTCTAGCGGCTACATGCTTATCCTCTCTAATTCTGGAGATATGTCTTTCGATGACGTCCAAGAGATAGCGATAGCTTCGTCTTTGGTCCCCCTCCATCCATGACTCGTATTGCTTGATGTCGAACATCATAAGGCTCGAAGTACGAATCTTCTTGTATAAAGCATCACGAAGCCAATCATCAGGAGGTACATCATCCGGCATCATGTTGGATACCATCTCCATCCATTTCTCATAGAACACTTCCAGGTTTGAGTCACCGAGATACTTCATCGATACGATGTGCTCCATAGTGAAGGCTGTTTCTCGTTGACCTGGGGTTCTGAAGTGCTCCAAGATCATAGCCAAGATTTCCCGTCCCATGACATAGGTTCCTCTTCGACTATGACTTTGTGTCCTCAATCTCAGTTTGATCGCTACATGACGAGCAACATCACCGGCTTGGGCTATCACGTTTGACAATGCGATTGACAACTTGGCGTCGATTGACTGGTATCGTTGCCCTCCACTGTCATTCAATAGCTCGATATCGGGATTTGGTCGAATAGCCGGTTGTAACCATGCTTCCCATGCGGCTTTGTCCCCATCATTGGCAGCAAGAACAACGCTCTTAATGAGATCTGACTGCCAGACCCCAAGATTCTGCTGTTTCGGCCATGGGCTAACATAGACCTTGTCAGCCTCCCGTCGTGACATTCTTGGCGCTTCCTCTGCCGTATAAGCTGCAGTGGAGACATCATCTGCCGAATCACGTTGTGATCCTCGAACTGAAGGCAATCCTGGAGGTTCAGGAGGTGGTCCTGGACCGTTGGGCCCGAAAGGGTCAGGAGGTCCATCAGGGTCAGGCGGACCGCCCCATCCACTCGGTGGTTTGTAGTAGTCTCTCTCAGTTCCGTCAGCGATCCTATTGTCGACTTCTCTCAACAAATCAGTGATTCTTTTGTTTGATTGAGAAGGTTGTCGTTGAGGATGTACAGCATGTTCGCGATAGGATTTGGCAACATTTGTTTCATGGTTCAACTCCTTGTCAATCTGCGAGACCCAAGACTTCAGAATAGCGTTTTCACAGTTAGCCTCACTCACGTCATTCTCCAATTTGTCGATGACTAGTCTTGATGCGAGATCGTAGTTGGGAATGCCTGCAGAATAGGAAAGCGTGTCAGGGTTGACCCTTGACATGGATACTTCAGAATCCTTGAGACTCTTCCTCATTTCATCTACTTGACGTTTCATGTCCATAATCTCAGAATTCTTAATACCGATCTTTTCATCCCTATCCTGGATTTCCCCCATGAATATGCATGATCTCTCATATTGTTGAACACCACTAGCCAATACCATTTTGCGCTCATTCTCTAGTTCAGATTTCAGAGTTCGGACCTCGGTATTGGTGAGGGACGGCGCCCCTACATCCGCAACTTCAGTCAATCTTTCCTTTAACAACAAGTTCTCTTGTAAACATTCATGAACTTCATGGTCTAGGTCCTGAACCCTGATTTGAGCGATCTTGGCCTGATTACGCAGGTCTTCGACAAGCATCTCATCGGGGCCACGACCGTCGGTCGTAGAACCCTGAGTCAACGATCTCCGTAACTTTGCGTTCTGCAACTTGATCTCATCCTTCAGTTCGCAGTTCATCTTCTGCTCGTTGGCATAGAGCTCCTCATAATGCTCTGCCTTTGCGATCGAGTTTGTGCTAGCCTGTGATTCAAGCCTCAGGTGCGATATTGCTTCGGCTTCTTGGTTCCTGTATGATGCAATTCTTCTGACGGTATCATGTTCGGTATTCCGATGCTTCAGGTCACTTTCCAACTTGGCCTGATTTGCCTCGAACACCTTCTTCCTAGATTCTCTAGTGATCTCATCAATACTGCTCTCATACAGCTCGGCCTGTTTACGAGACTGAACCAAGGCTTCACTCAATAGTTGATTTCGCTCAGACAATTCATGAACTGCAATCGATTGCTGTTGGCTAATCACTTCAAGTTGATTACTAGAGAAGGATGCCATCTCGGATCGATTACGATATTCCATGATTGAATTCTGGAAGTCTGTTTGCATTTCCTGACCTTCATTGTATAGTCGATTGGCAATATCGGTGGTTAAGACATTGGTCTGATGAAGTTGTTGAAGTCTTGCCTCCGTATTACCCAGTAGTCCTTGAAGGTGATGTACTTCATCCTTGTACTCTTCCTGGATCTCCATGCCACGTTGATGGATCCGTCGTGCACCATGTTCCATTAGAGCACCTCGGCGTTCAAGGTCTTGAATGCGCATTGTTGCACCTTCATCTTCCTGAGATGCTACCATTAGTTCTGCTTGATATTCTGCAACCTCATTTGCGGAACATAACAATCTGTTGTTGAGTGCATTGACCTCATCAAGTACATTCTGGTTGTGTTCCCGAAGATATTCAGTGAATCTGATCTCGATGTCATGAATCAGTTGATCTCTAGATGCAGCGTATGCTTCCATGTTGTTCAGCTGATTACGTAGGGATTGACATTGTGCCCGTAGTTCCTCTATCATGGCAATAGGTTCACTAGCCACAGAAGTATCTGTTGATCTCCTCTTAACACGACTATCCCCGGTCCTCTCACCAATTCGGTCGGTCACGGCCCTGGTGGATCTGTCCCTTGGAGTAGTTCGTCCTTGAGATGGTCGATGCCCTTGACGGACAACATCACTCCGAGCACTGTTTCGAGAAGATCTAGGTGTGCTTTGAGTGGATATTCTTCGTCTGTTTGATGTGACTTGCCATCCGGACTGTGTAGTTCGGGTAGAGCGTATCCCGCCACTGTCTGCCGTGTCACCAGGGGAAGATTGATTGACCTCCTCGACCGGCATAGCAGCGTTCTCATTGAAGGTAAACTGCGTGGTGCGCGAGTCTCCGCTGCCGCCTTGCATCTTTGCGACGATGAGCTGATTGGTCCTTTGCGTCCTCAATCAATTGCTCAGACGGCCCGGCTACCAGCACGCAGGCACCACTCTCCCGGCGGGAGAAGTGAGCTCTACGGCTGATAACCTGTGAACAAATGAATCCTTGTTCTGGATATCTCTGATTGGTGGTACCTTTGTGCTGGGACAGCCGAACCTAACGAAGCATTGCTAGCATCACGCGGTTGTTTTCCTCTCAGCGGGCGCTTGAGCCACAATGGGCGTCCGTTATGTAGTGCAGTGCTCATATCATACATGCACCTAGCGCCTGGTTCCCTTTGACATATTGTATATGTATATTCTACTATAAAACCCTTATTACTGAGCGCCTTACTAAGCGCCTTACTAAGCGCCTTACTAAACCATATATTTTGAAACGTGGAAGTCAAGCTTATTGGCTCAATTTCATCAACTTCACATTGTCTCAACATGTTTGATGCGGCAAACTCTGCGATGTGGCACAACGTCAGGCTGTCTTAAAATATCTTGACATAAGTGCATATTTCATGTGGAAAACCTCAACCATCGCAGGTTGCCTCCCCACCAAGTATACTGGTCCTTGGGCCTCCCACTTGGTAAAGGTTGCACCTCATCTCTATGCAGCTGGGGGAATCCTGTTGTGGACTGTGGAGATCTGTTGAACCAATTTTGACTAACTCCATGGTCCTTCAACACAGAGCCCCTCCAGTTTTTTTTGTGCTTGATGCCTGGCCATAACATTATTGGTCTGTGTGCTGTGTTAGCAGAACGAAAGCCCCAAACCCCCGAGTCAGATGGATCATGAAATGAACATGACATCCGACCTATCATACTATTAGATCATATATTTTCATATATTTTCATATATATATATATATACTGTATATCTGTATATCATAAAATCGGCATCGAATGAACAAATCATGACATTTCCAGCGACGGTGAGTTCAGTGAGTTCATCTAGGTGCCAGGCTCATGGACTTTCGCTCCCCATCGGGTTGCCCAGCCCCGGTTGCGCTGGTTGCCCCGGCCGTCGTCGCGGAAGCGGCTGAGGGGCTACCAGCGCTACCAGGGCTACCAGCTCCATCTGCCAATGAGATTCTTGGCGCCTGCCAGACATGGAGAACGTTCAAGAAACAAGACATGCTATAGGTGTAACCAGTATCCTCAGTGATTTTATGTTTTGTTTGTTGATATTCTTTTCCAGCACTTCAGCTCTTTTTGTTCCTATTCAGCGTGCATTTTCTACAGGTTTCCAATATCTGTTCCCTTGCCACACCTCTACCTTCTCTGCAAAAAGTGGAGCCATGGCTGCGGCCTTAGCTGACTGGCGAATGGACATCTTCGGTGGTCTTCCGGAGCAGAATCTTCAGAATATTCAGCTCTGGCATGTGTTCGCATTGTCTAAAGAGTTTCCTGTCAGTTTCCGGTTGTGATTCTCCGTGATTATGCCTTGGATACACAATGGTCATCTGAGCCCGATGCCAGCTGCTGCGAAAGCTTGCAGGTTGCTTTGAAAGCTGGCGGCCTCTGCAGCCCAAGCGGAAATGGTGTGACAAACTTGGCTACCGAGGCTACTGATGTACAGAAGGCCAATGTTGAATAATATTAAATAATCTTAAATTCATGTGCTGCTTTGCAGAAAACAAGCTCCAATTTATGTGCTTTTTTTCCCAAGGAACGAATGCCCTCAAGGCTATGATCAAATATTCTCAATGAGCGCTTCCTATATTTCACATCTCCACTCACCGCAACGGTAGCCGACGCCAGCATGCCTCTCTGTGTCCTTGGTCCAGAGATCAAGTTGAACAATCAGTGCCACACTTTGGTATGCATGGTTCCCAACATTTTCCAACATGATCATCCCACTAATTCACCAGACGGACGTTGTAAGGCATACTATCTCGAAGGGTCTTTTTCAATGCTACAAGTGACTTCTGGACTCAGTCAGACCCTGGCCTACAAAGTGAGGGTTCCAACCCCATCCAACCCCAACGATCCCATATGACAATATATGACAAGATATGACAGATGATGGTAGCAACTTTGGCTGCGAACAGCCAAATCCTGTCACTGAGAGTCCCACCAATTCGTCCCAGGTGGAGAAGTCCTGCTCGATGCTGCCCGCTGTGTAGCTGTGGTTATGGCATTGTGATGAATCCAATTGGCCCCAGGATGCTGGTAAAAAAACAGTAAATTCTTTCATGTTTCTTCGAACACTTACAGAAATCCAGCTGTTCAAAACAGAATTGTTCATCTTCCTCACACATCGACAAGTCGAGCTTTAAGGGCTCTTTTTAGAAGATACCGCCCGAGTTGCAGCTGCCCTGTCCTCACTCACCTTAGGGACTCCGAAACAGTGCCAAAAGGCGCAAAGAAAACGACTTTTCAGACTTTTTCCGAAAAAATCGACACATCATGATACAAGTCGAAAATAGTCAAAGGCTCTTCATTCCACCACCTCCCATGCTTTATGGTCTGAGGACGCACTCTTTTGACTGTTACGACTGATGACTCTGCTACAACTGCCAGCCAAAAGCAGAAAATTGGATAACCTTGGATGATCAAATCATAGAGCAAATCCAGAAAACTACGGGACATCAAAGACTGGTGGTAACTTATGGTGACTTCAAAAGCCAAGACACTGCTTTGTACTCCGACCGTGATGAAGTCCTTGGAAACGTGGAAGCAGCTGCCACAAGACAGTGCGATCGCAGGTTCAACTCTCGCTTCAAGTTCAGGTCTTGGGAGTTGTTCATAGCAGTTGCTCAAGTTTCTACGGTCCAACATTTCGAACATTCATATCGAGGCATCCAAGGCATCCAAGGCATCCAAGGCCCAATGTTTAACCACGAAGCACGATCGGATACCATCTGTTTCGGTGAGTTTCGGTGAGTTTCGGTGAGTTTCGGTGAGTTTCGGTGTAGGTCCCCGGACGAAGTTGGAGACTCTGGGGCGTCCTCAGCAGGTGCCGATGGGAGAAACACCAAGCCTCGGCCACGGGATCGTGACGCCGTCAGTGAGAGGTGCGGTGCAGCGAAAGTGCGATCAATATGAAAACGAATTTGAACGTGTAAAAACACAATATGATACAATATATTATAATATGTTGAACATCATATGAGACTCGGCTCTCTTGGCTCGCTCCACTGAGCTCCATGCATGTCTGCTCCACTTGCAGATTTTTTTGCCCAGCTAAGCACAAACGCAAGGAAAGCAGAAGTGGCTCCAACTGGCGGATGTAGGAAATGTCGGAAAAATCAAGAAAATTCCACAATGAAACCAACCATTATCAAATTATCATCAAATTATTATCTTATCCATAGTCTTGAACCACTCCAGGACTCGAAGGCCTGAAGCTTGAAGATACGGACTTGTAGAGGCTTGGAGCTGACAAAAAGACTTACTTCAAGCTGTTCTGTTTACCACCACTGTGACTACCATTGAAATTTCCACCCTCAACAAACGCTTGCCGATGCTGCCCGTGCCTGCGCCAGCTCTGAGATGTGTAGATTCCGTGGCACGGAATCAGATACATAAACCTGAGATGGGCAACGCCAGATCCACCACAAAGTTGACCAATGAAACCATGTCCATGTGCTCAGTTTGCTCAGCGCAGTTGCCGTTTCATGAATTTATCTGATTGAATCTGCAGGTGAACCAAAATGAACCAAAGGTTTTTGAAAGTCGGAAAATTCAATCCCTTGTCGTTTTGACATCTCCAGGAGCGGCACTTGATAGAGCTGCATGGCCAAGTGCGACAACCAGGAGCCAAAGTTCGCCTGGAAATCTGATGAGATCTGATGAAATCTGGAAAGTCTCAAATGTCAGCACAAGAAGAATCTTCTCAAAGTCACCCGGTTCAAGTTTCCGTTTCACCCAGTCGTCCATGAACCTCACTGCACAAGCGATCATGCTGTGCTGTCAAACCCCCATATATCCCAATAAATACGCATCGGTCGAAGCCCACGTTCTCTTGTGAGGAAATCAAGGGCATAACAAGCAAATAATTGATGTCATTTGATGTCTAATGTTCAGTGAGGTCTTTGATGATCGAGGGCAACATCACTGTCCCTGACTATCCGATGACCCGATGACCCCATCTCCTCGTCTCGGAAGTGTGGAGGCTGCCAGCCATCGGGCACTGGAAATGTTGCCGCAGCATGGCTCTTGGCCACGTGAAAGACCTGCCCAGCTGTCGGAGAAACAGAAACGGGACAAGAGGAACGGATTGATTGTCCTGAATCCTGACACATGATAATCATGAGAGCATATGATAGCATATGATAGCATAATATCATGGTTATATCATGATGCTGTATCATTAGGGTTTGCTGCAACACAGGAACTTCTGAAAACTGTAATTTCCCCAGTTATTTCGTCCCCGGATTTGATGCTCTTTGAGTGCCTCGATGGGACAATTGGGCAACAATCTCGTGGACACTGGAGGTGCGCTGATGGTGTCCTGCTCAAGGCAATCGATCTTGAAACGACCACAACTACGACAACTAGCTGATGCCATGCAAATCCTATGCACATCCTATGCAAATTATGGACCATAGTAACTCTCCTCTGGCTCAGCCCGAGCCGCCCACAGATCTGCGCTGTGGAGCAAGTGCCTCTGAGAAGTTCAGAGCTTTGATCAACGGCAGGTGGAAAACAAAAGAACAAAATAGGACAAATTGGAAAACTAATTGGAAAACAATTGGACAAATTGGATTTCTCAATTGAGCTCAACTGGATTCAACTGGTTCATCCCGACGGTTTCCAACTTGTGGCCCCGACTCTTTTCAGTTCACCGTCAGACGGTGCTGAGCTGTGAACATCGTGCGGTTTTGTCTTGCGGACACGATTTCATTCGATTTCATTGTGTAAATAGAAGTGCCGGATACAGTCCATCGATGTCCCAAAACAAAGTCTTGAACAACTCTGTGCCCGGGCAAGACAAAGGCCTTCAATTTCCTCAGGCAGGTGATAACATGTGAGAACCACAAGTTCGATTGCGGCTCCTTCCGCTGCCACTCAGTCAGACTTAATCCCTCGACGTGGAGCAAATTGGAAAGCGTGGACAATGTGGACAAGACTCCAGCCAAAGTGCCACACAGTGGGGATGAAAAAATGTGTGCAATCAGTGTGACCGCGAACCACTTGGTGATCTGCGGAATTCATGTCCTCGCAACAAATGGAACACTAGTGGAACGCTGCTCCACCTCACTCGTATCACTCGTCTCCATGATGCTCTTGAAAAGGAGGCTATGCTTCTGCGGGTGGTGACGTTGCAAGGCCTCAAAATGGGTCTGCCTAGCCGGGGTCAAATCGACTTTCAGGACCAACAACTGCTCTGCTCTGTTCAGCTCCTGGATGTCATCTGGATCTTGGATGCCATTCACTTCGTCTTCAATGATTCCTTGCCTTCAAGCTGAAAGATCTGAAAGATCTGAAAGTAAAGGTCCAGGCAATTCACAATGGAGATTCTTTGAGCCGACGAGTGCTCTGCCGGTTCGGCCACAATCGCAGAAGGTGTGCTGCTGATGCTGATTCGGGATATTCGGGTGTTGCGCAGCCGATGACTTCTCTGGCTGAGCACGGCCTGGACGGCTTCGCCATGTTTTGCCTTCTCGCTACGGCGCTCGGGCGCTCGAGGTAGGCTATGCGGCTATGCAGCTTTGCACCTGAGCCCTCAGACTTTGCATGACTGTGTGCAATCTTGAACCAATCTCAGATACTATCGTTGGGCTCTTTCGACGATGTCTTTATTACGTACTTTTCACTGTTCATCATTCTCTACACCTTGTCTCACCTTTTCTTGATATCCTATGATATCCTATGATATCCATGAATATCTATTAGAATCTATGATCTCTGATGCACACCTCTGCACGTGTCCATCGACCATGCGGATCCGGATTGGATCCTTCAGATGCGGATCCTGCCTGAGTTTCAGCGACATCTTGGGACTCATGCACTCCCCTTCAAGGCCACGGATGAGCGCCAGAGCCTCGAAAGGCTTAAATGGAAACCATTGAAAAACCAATTCTGGTCCAATGCAGCGCAAATACTGAACATAAGTTGTCTGAGAATCATTTTGACACTTTTCCCAGTTTTTGATGCTTTCTGCGTGTGCTATGATGCTAGGCCAGTCCAACATCAGGTGCATTGCTTTTTGAACGCTGCGTGTCTAGCCTCAGCGTGTATGTCCCAAGCCCAGCGAGCAACGCAAGACCGTTGACGACGCCATTCCGCCTCTCAGATTTCGGGGAGACCGAGATCTTCACGGAGCAACATGGAGCACCGATAGAGCACCGATATACCAAAGATTGCCAAAGGTATCCAAAAGCTGGCTTCCCTCTTGGTGGCCCTAGTGGCGAGCAAGAAGTTGTGAAGGAATGTGCAGTTGCAAGATGTTATAAGATGTTGCAAGTTCCCTGGACCTTGAGATCCAAATCATCAAAGTCAAGTCTACAGAGTACAAGAAGATGATCCAACATATTCGCAACATATTCGCAACATATTCAATTCGCAACATATTCGCAATATGTGTGATGCAAGGTACGAAAATGTTGTATACGTTGTATCCCACGCAGCTTCGCTGCTGAGCTGAGCCTGCAATGGTGATTCATTTTCTCCCGGCCTCTTCGCAGGGTGGCAATGGCTCAAGCAACGAAAATGTGGCAAAACATGGCTACACTGCGGGCTAAGCGGCTTAAGTCAGCTTCGTCTGCTTCAGTTAAAATTGATTTCAATCCAAGTAGGGTTGACTTGAAGCTGTGCAACAACTTGTGGAACACTTTCCATTTCCGTTTGAATCACTGCCCGGATCCACAATCTCTACGCCTCGGTGGAGTTTTGGGTAGCGCGGCTTCGCTCCCTTCGACACAAACTTGCGTGGCCTGGGCTCGTAGACACGTGACATGACCAACCAATTCAGCATATCATCAGCATATCATCAGCATATCGTCAGCATATGATAATATAAAAGTCAGTTTAGGTCTATATCAGACCTTTTCCGCAAACAGATTCTCCAGATTGGATTGAACAAACCAAAACAATGGATGGAATGGATGTCGATCATTCTGGTGCTGTCAAAACCATGTCATCAAGAAACCTCAGAAACAATTTCGGATTTGTTTTTGGTATTGGTCCATTGGGATCGATTCGGTGATTTAGCCAAGGCAGCTGCACGTGTTGCAATCGGAGTAACCCAAAGAGCCGGACTAGAAGTATCTCTACCATTTCCAAGACACATAAGACACCCAAAGGGAAACTACAGAAACGGAACCTCTGGAAATCTCTGATCAGCTAGAAATCTCTGGAAATCCCGTTGTAATTGATTCATTGGTCCCCAGCACCTGAAATCCCCAAGTAACACCCCAAATCTGCCTTCAGAAGCTCGACCAGAGCCATCCGTGAGGCACTGTGCGCGTCCACCACGCGTCGACCCAGGGCAACTGGCAACGAGGGCTGCGGCTGGTTGGGCGACAGGTTGGTGGAAACAGACAACTTGTAGAAACATATCAGGAAATATTTTTGGAACTGTGAATTATGTCTCAGATATCCATAGCATCCGATAGCAATCTTTTTGCCTGGCAAAAAGTATCCACACGCTTAAGGTTTGTTGAGTTCAGTGCTTCAGAAAGTCTTTCCCAATTAATTGAAATCCACATCGTCAAATCCACAGCAACATTGCCATCTTTCCTGACTTCTGATCCGTAGAATTTGTTGAAAGGCCGCTGGTCGGGCCGGAATCCCTTTAGGGCCCAGCCCTGCCCTGGATGAACCTTCGGGTGACTCCTCCTTGCGGGTAGCTTTTCGAATCGTGAATCCCCAACTGCACCAACTCACCAACTAGGGCACAAAAACATCGCCGAGTCATGCAGGATTGGGGACACACTAGTGACGGCTGAGAGAAAGGCTGTGAAGCCCGACACGGAAGGCTGTTGATTTGCCAAACACTGGAGACACTGAAACGATTCATGTTAAACAATGGCTACAGTATACAGTAATCTACAGTATACTACAGTAATCTACAGTATACAGTCGACATCAGTCGACCAAAATGAGTGGATGATCATCGGATGATGGGCCTGATCCCCCTCCGAGCTGCTTCCAAGGTCACCTGTCACAGTGGACATCAGTGGACGTGAAGTTTCAGTGACTCCAATTCGCTGCAGGGCAGGAGGGCAGGAGGGCAGGAATGTCAAGTTGCTCAAACTGAAGCTTTCCAATTTGTGAATGTGAAATGCCTGTGTTTGGAAGCCATCATGGCCTTTGCCTCCACAGCCTATGCCATATATATATATATATCCATATATCATCATATGTCCAGATATATTAGCATTGATTTCGATCAGATCTGTACGTTGCAGCGCCAAGTGCCATGAGCTGTTCGGATCTGTTGGATCGCACTGAGGCTACTGCTGGGCAACTGTCCCATCGAAGGGATCTGGAACTGCAGGGTTTGAACTCCACTCACCTGAGATTTGAATCGTCACACTTCTGCAAAGGACAACTTAGAAATTAATTAAGAGAGCAAATTGAAAGAACAAATAAAGAATAGTACTCTCTAAAAATCGTGAAGCGTGTGAAGATGCCCTGACTCATCCTGACTCTGAAACTCACATCCCTACATCCTCCTATCATTTCATGGCAATTGGCTCGAACATCATTTACACAACCTCATTCGGAATCAACAACAGTCACGAACAATTCAGCAGCTGGGCCTTCCGTTTTGTAGACAGAGGTGACTCCTGCACCTGCGCAAGGTCTGTACATGGAACATGAGATAACATGAGCAAAGAGCTCCATGGCATATGGCATCGTCATGGCAGTTGTTTCTTGATCCGATTGGCCCATGTGGCAGGAGGCGCAACTCATGCCCCAAATTCATTGCAACGACTTTGTTATCAAATGTCCGGCATTCTTGCGACACGTTACACATGTGACACATGGATTTCCAAGGGCCTTGATGCTTGCCTTCTGTTGAGAATCTGAACCGTGTCAGAACTCTTTTCTAAAAACATTTCAAACTTCCAAACTCGTTTTTTGGTGAACATGACATGTTTGACATGTTTTGAAACTTTGTTCAGCGTGTCTTGATCTGTGGTCGCCTCATCCACCTCCACGTCGTCCATCTCCGTGCGCTCTTCCTGACCCTCAGATGGGGCCAATATGGGACCGATCACTGCCCTAGGCACTCTGAACAGCGGCCCCAATTGGAAATCATGGCAGTTCAAATCGTAGGATTTACTGAGATAGACATAAATGATGCATGATGACGCCAAATCTTGCGATCCACGGTTACGGTTGAGAGACTGCATTTTGGCCTCCGCAACATCTGGAGTTACCGCTTCCTGGCGCGCCGGGTGAAGCAGTGTTGCGGCTCTGAGTAGTTTGCATCAGTTTTCAAAGGATTCGAAGTATCATAAGTATCCTTGCGCTTTCTTTGCTTTGTCTAGATTCCCTTTCAGTGGAACGATAGCTTTGAACACCTGGAATTTCGGCTTCGATCGTTTGGACTCCTGGAGATGGTCAGGTAACTCTGGAAGCTTCAAACGACCCCTGCGGGTGGTACTGAAAGCCAAGGCCTTGGTGATGCCAGCACCGATGGAACTCTGTCGGGTTTGTGCACTGAGAATCACCGAAGAATCACATGGTACCAGTTACAACAACGGCCACACAAACAGAAAGCGACCGTTCTGGAGGATTTCCTGACCATGGAACATCATGGAACATCATGGAACCTTCCCAAACGCCTCTTTTGCGACTTTGCCACCCCGCCATGGTGAAGATGGCATCACAAGGTGCCGCCAGTCGGATGGAGAAGGGATCAAGTAACGGCAGCATCTGTCAGCACTCGCAGGAGCCACAGCTAAACAAAGAGTAACCAAGACGTGTTCTACAGATTCGAATTGATATGTTTTGATGAACATTGGGTTTCATTGAACCTCACTTGCTTCAGCACTGCACAACGCATCCCAACAACCACGATATCTTGACCGTGTGCCTTCAGCGCTTCTTGCAACTGTTGCTCTTCAGCTTCTCCACAATGCTCTCCTGATTCTCTCACAAAAACGAGACATATCATGATACACATATCGTATATCATATACATATATTCATACATACCATAATTCCTGCCTTCTCATCTCATTTTCCTTGAAGATGCAGCATGATATGCACGATTCGCATGTGAAATCTTAATTTTGGAGGTGTGGACAACCCTCACCTTGATTGCTGATCCGCTCCATGGCTTCGACCTGAAAGCTGCAGCAACAAACCCGAAGCATGGCTATGTCTTGCTGATGGGGACACTATGTTTTGCATACTGTAGACTTGGGAAGGGCCCTTTTCTACATATATTTGTAAATAGCAAACCTCAGCCATACTGATGGTGCAGTTTCTGAAAATCAGCGGGGTATAGCACAACGAAACTCTTTTGTAGAGGTCTAGGTTTGTTGGGGATGGAGCATGAGGTCATTGCCCAGTCCCTAATCTTCCCTCTAAGACCGAAGGAGATCGACATGCTACAGGGGTTCCCAGTACACCTGTGGTCTCAAGAAATGTGTATCCAACGGGTTGAACTGATCTCAACGTTCTCCACGCATCTGCTCAAAATCTATAGCTCCAGAAACTTCACCGAACAAAATGATGGATCTCCAGCATAGCCGCAGCATAGCATACCATAATGATCCATAATGCCATAGCTCATCCAAGTCATCCAAGTCATCCAAGTCATCCAAGTGGCCAGAGTTGCGAAGACCTTCCAGGCGGAGTCCTTGGACCTCCAGGAAACTCATCCAGTGTAGCTATGGGACTGGGTATGATAAGTCTGGTACTATAAGGGTACTACGAGTCTCTATGAGTGTATGGTTTAGTCATTCTAAAATCACATTTTGAGTCTTGAAGTAGGCTATACATAAAATAACTGTTCAGACTATTCATGATCCTTAGTGGGTACAGATCCGGATATCCAGGAAATAGTTGCCGTCTGAGAGAAAGGCTCAAAGTGTTCGTCATGGTACCACAAAAGCTCATCAAGATCCTGGCACGAGGACGCTCAGAAAGCAAAACAACGAAGGTCGAAAAGGTCGAAAATAAGAAGTAACAAAATTGACAAAAATTGACAAAGAGAATGGCAAACAAAATTAACACATGAACATCGCAGCAGAAGGCTGGAGGTCGTTTTTCTCGTCAGAGCTGTTTTGTCGCAAGGGCAACGGACTCTCAGTAGTCTTGGTAGTTGCATCATGTTGCGCGGTCTAGCCGAACAAGTCGAACTCCATCTCTTCTTCCTCTTCTTCCTCAACGACTTTCTTCTCCTCTTTCTTTTCAGCCGCAGGTGCTGCACCACCACCTCCGGCAGCTGCGACGGCACCACCACCGCCGCCACCACCGCCACCAAATTTCAACATGCTCTCCAAATCCTTTCCAGCACAAAGCTTGGCAAAGAGGGCAGGGAAGAAAGTGCTGGTGGAACCTCCAGCTGCTTTGATCAACGTGTTGATGTTCTCTTCCGAGATTTCCATCTCGCTATCCTTCAGGATCATGGCAGCATAGGTGCAGAAGAGCTCTTCCTTCTCTGCCGTTGGCACCTCACCTGCTGGGACTTCCGCCATTGCGACGATTCGAAACAGCAACCTCTGCGATCCCCTTTGAGCCAAAACAAGCCAAAACAAGCCAAAACAAGCAACATCAAGCAACAACGGACAAACTCGAGGGTACAAAATGTACAAAGGTCAAATGGTAAGAAGTCTCAGGTCGAACAATTACAGTGCTCCTGAACATGACCTTCAATCATTCCTGGTGCACCCGGGGCTGAATCTCAACATCTGCATTAAGGCCAATCAAGGCATTCAACATCGTTCAATATCATTCAGCATCATTTAACACATTATGCGATCAATGGAATCTGATGGAATCTGCTAAGCCGCTAAGCCCTGCTAAGCCATGCCAGCGCTGCTTGAACGTCGATGTTCTTCCTCGACTTCCTGGGGGCAGATGCCTGGGTGGATCGCAGGGCTGCGGAGCGAAACAGCTAGACATAGCTATACTTTCCACCAGAGAATAAGGCATGAAATATTCATGCTAAACAATGCCAAACAGCTATGCAAATATTCATGAATAGGTTTGGATAAGACTGTGATTCATGAACGTTCATGACATATTCATGACTTCATGACCCTTTATCCTGCGTCAAGCATTGGCAATCTTTATTCCAGTTGAAATTCGCGACTCATCTTTGGAAAGGAAATGTTACGCACCATCAAAATACAAGCCGCTCAAGCAGCAGTTTGGCACTACATTAGGGGCTTTGTAGCCCAAGTCTATCTTGGTGTCCTAATCCTTTCACATTTCTTCAGGCTTCCAAGGGGCTAAAACGTTAAGTTGCGACGTTCGTGAAGCAGAGGAGCGCTTTGACACCTCTGTGGCGAATGAACTGGTGCCTCTGGTAACTTTCATTCCATTTTGTCCCGGTCCTTCATTTTCCAAAACACATTGTCACATAGATTGTCCAGTTGGGTCCACTTGTACAACAACAACTTCAGAATACAGAATACTATAGAATACTTACTTGATGATCTTGATGTATCTTGATATCAAAGTCCAGGCTGAGATCATCGCCCCCTCAGCGTTTGAGTTCTTCTGGCTCTCTGCGGGAGCAACAAAGATCTCCCTGGGCGATTTCGTCCAATTTCGCTCACTTCAAATCCATAAAATTCCAAGACCAGTACTTCCGAAACCAAACTTGTAACAAGAGCTTCGGATACCTTTGGAGGTCTCAGATTGCTGTGGCCATCCTGAACTCAATTCTCAAGCTCACCCATAGCTCGAAGGTACCGACACATCGGAAAATATCTAAAATTGAGATATACAAGGATGAATGGTTGGTCTTGCATCAGACATTGAATTCTCCATACAGTAAATATGGTATCTTCATGTGTCTTCATACTACGTGATGATTGATGATGATTGTATCATCAGACATTTCAGGCAGTTCCGGGCAGACTTGACATCGAGTTCCGGACTGTTGTCTTGAGAGATGCACTTGTCGGATCTGGCGAAGCCTTGGCAGAACATGAAACTTTCAAACTTTCAGCATCCAAAATCCTATGTTGTAATTATGTTACAATGATGTTATAGTGATGTTAGAATGAGTGAAACAAACCTGTAGATCTATCTCTATAGCTAGGTCTGGTCACAAAAGTTTGATCAATCAAACAACTGAGACTTTTCGTGCAACTGTATATAACAGCTGTGACTTTCAAGAAAGTGACATGCCTGGAAACACGTCAAGGTGAATCCTCTGCTATAGCTATGACATGCTATGACATGCTATGACCTCAATCCCCCGTGAGACTGGGACAAGTTGTAAAGGATGGCCGAGATTGATGGACCTGGCCAAGTGCCAACACACAACTGACGAAAACCATCGATTTGAGCATTTTTGTGTTGAAGTTGTCGAACTTTTGTCGAAGTTGTTCATAGTTTTTCAACACCAAACGCTCCAAGAAAAAAAACACATTCAAAAACATCATCCCCTATGGGTCTGTGGATTCTGTGGATTCTAAATGACTCATGTAAACATTTCTGGGGTGTTGGCGGTGTTGGGTGTTTACTTGAGCACCCAGGTTTGGCATACCATCATACCACGGCCTGGAAAGCTGCTGGTGTCCGGCCACACAGGGCACTTGTGGGCCTCATGGGCACCATGGCACCTGAACCTGTCAACCTTGAAGACACTTGTTGCTACCCATTGGCAATAAGCCGACACAGTCAACACATGTAATGAGCATCAATGACAATGAGCAATCTTGGGACCATGGTCACAGTGTTTGGTTTTATCAGTTTCATCATGTTTCATCCCAAACCTATGCAGTTTCCAAAGCCTCGCCTGTTGCAGGGCCAAGGGGGCGAAAATCTCCAACATGTCCACCGAACGGAGCGTCACCTCCGTGAGAGCATGTGGACCATGTGGACCATGTGGATATGGATGATATGGGTCAGCAATGATCAGCATTTTCCAGCACTTTTTACCAATGATTTTGGTCATACTGTGGTCATACTGTGGTCATAGTAACATATACTAACCATTGCTAACCACAGAAATTTCAAGGGCTCAACTTGGACAGTACTATTCCACCACATCCAATTATCCAATTGCTGCGCCAAGTGACATCGAAATTCAGTTCCTCCACCACCTCAGCCACTCGAGGACCTCTCAGCCACAGCGCTGCAGATTTGGGTGAGAATACTGTATACGCCGACGCCATGGATGCGTGTGCAACAAAAAATGCTTAATGAATGTGAATGATGGAATACTGTCAAAAAAAATGAACTACGACTCAACATTTTCCAGTTCCCAATGTTCCCAGAAAATTACGGTATAGTTCATTTTGATCTTTTGATCCTATCTCACGTTCAATTTCGGTTTCACAGGTCGCCTCCGATAGAGCGCGTCTTCAGGATGCACTTGGGCCACAGGCCTCCATCGCAGGCTGCAGCCAAGACCTGGTCGGATCACACAATTCATCTAGACAGAAAACAGCTGTGTACATTGTGTACATTGTGTACATATATCATATATTAATTTATGATTTAGATCTGTTGATTTTAGATCTGCACTATAAACAAATAAATGATATATATATATACATATAATATAATATATATATATATTATACACAGTATATCACACGATGCATCACTTTCATCAGTCTTCAGCATCATCTCGAAGAATTCACATCTCGTCCAACCGACCACATCCAAGCGATCATCCCACCAGCATAGCCAAACGTTGCCCGGAAGTTTGTAACTTCAAAGGGAAATTCGGCTGAGCCAATTTGCCTTGGAATTGGGATCAGCTGGGCACCAAGTCAATGTCCAATGGAACTTTTCTCAGGCTAATTCATGCTAATTCTAGCAAATTGAAACATGAACTGGGACTAACATTGACCACGAGAAGATGAACACCTCAGTGACCACAGCCAAAGCGTCACAGTTGTGTCCCACTGAAGTGTACTCCCAAAGTGCGGTCCGACACTAAAAACATCTAAAAACGAGGTGCTGCATAACACGGGGCTCATCATGACTCTTCCCATTTTCCCCTGCCAGGGCAGCAGTACGCCCGGTACGCACATCATGTAATTGAGTCTGCTAGGTTCTAACAACAAATACACACACAGACACAAGTGGCCAAAACATGCCAAATCATTGTGCACTCTCTTGCAACTCCAATGTTGGCACAGATGGGTGTTTCATCCACTTGTAACACCTGCCTCTGCTGCAAGTTGGCTCGCATTGGCAGCATCTGTCAGAGTTTTGAAGCCAGTGGCCACCTGGACATGGCGATGGCAGTCAGCGGAAGCTGCATCTGCGACATCCTCAGACCGAGCCTTGCCGGCAGGAGCCGCTGGCAATACCATGGAACTCAGAAAGCTCTGTGCTCTCCTCAGCACAGTCTGAAAGTCATCCGACAGTCTGTGTTTAATCTACAGATATCTACAGTGTCCGCAGTCCAGCTGGAAATCACTGTGACAATCTGTGACAAGCGGTGAGATGTTGTGACTCAACACTGACATATTCCGTCCTGGGCATGGCATCCAGCGCTTCTTCTAGCCAGCTTCGAAGGGAAGGAGTTCCTGCCCAGTATTGCCCATTTCAATAAGATCAATAAGAGTATAAGAAGAGTTTTGTTTTGTGTTTTGTGCATCACTTTTGTCTCCGCTCATGGATGAAATGGTTCGAGCCATGACATGGGAGGTTTGTGGAGCCTGCGCTATCCACCACGCAGAGCTCAGAGCGGCCGCAGCGGAAGAGCCAACTGGGGAGTGCCACCGGACACCTGGATCGGTAGTGAAAAGGTGATTGGAATCATCGGATCGCCGGATCGGTAAGAGAATCTTTTTCGAAAAACAATTTGGGACATTGACATATTCGATGTTTAAGTTTCCAATATTTTCCAATATAACAAAAACATCTGGATGTGGGATAGTGGTGCTAAAATTGATGGTTAACTGGTTGGTTGTTGATTCTGGATCGAAAAATTGGTCAATCTTTATCATTGGGGAAGGGGTTAATTGTTTAAACCGGAAGGATTTCCAGCTGAATTAGGTACTTAATGATTTGAATGAGAGTGAACATCTGCATCGGAAGGGTGTTCCAAAATTTCCAAAGGGAAGCACTCTATAATGTGCAGAAGATTGGGTAAACTCATGTGGAAACATGAATCGCAAGCTATGTCCGAATTGTCCAGATCTTCCCAGATCTTCCCAGATCTTCCCAGATCCGCTCCTGCAGTCGATGATGACAAAGAGGCGGAACTTTTCGTCAGCGGTGCTCTGGAAAGATGGCGTGCTGCAGGTGAACCAAATCCTTGAGAACATATGAGAAAAAAATTGAGAACATAATGAACATATGAACTTAATATGAACTTCATATGAGAACGTATCAGAACAAAGATCTACTCTGGAGTCTGCCCAGTTCAAATGGGAACAACAGTCCCAAAATTTGTCCTGTTTCAAAGAAAATCCAAGGGTCATGAGTGCATCAAGAGTACATCATGAGTAGAACTCAATACAGCCAGTGATGTCCCTCATGCTGAGGAGTCATGTCTTCAAGTGCTGCAACGCACAACTCCAGTGAGCACAGGCTTTGCAAAATCTTTGGGTCCAAGTTGCCGTTCCAACAATTGGAAACCTGGGCTGGAAAGGGATTGTAATTGTGGAGGTTGTGTGCAGCACACTTACTGAAATGCATATCTTGACTGGCAGCCCATGCCACAACTATTGGATTATTGGGCAGAAACAAGCAGATCAAGTGCAAACTGATGAACATGTCAATGCCACTGTTACCACATCTCAAAAAAGCATTAAAAGCTCGCAGTTTCAACATCGACGTCAGAGTTGTCGCATGTTGTCGCTGAGCAACTGCTGTGTGGCATCTCCAAACCCAAGTGTTGTATGCTGGGAAGACAAGAAGAACTGGTCTGCACATGGAGCAGCAACCAGTAGCCCAAATCCTGGTGTCTGGGCCAATGAGTTTCCCTAAAATTTCGCTTACCTCCTGAGAAGGTGCTGGCTAAATATGATAAACTCCTGTGAAACTGGGTTTTCACATGTCTTCATATGTTTTCACACTCCAAATTCACCATCAAGCTACATCAAGCTACATCAAGCTACATCAACTTACAGATATCGTGCACAACTGCACCATGCGCGCCTTACATTCCTCCAGCAGCTCCAAAACGCCGCTGGGAGTCGAAGCACATTCCGCTGCAGGGGAAATGGAACTCCAACAGTTGGGCCGTTCACCTGGAGCGCTCGATGCTCTGGGATGCTCTGGGCCATCATGGCCATCATGGGATGATTGAACATGTTGAACATATTCAAACATATTCAAACATATTCAAACCACACTACATTCAAACATTTCATAATTAACATTGGACATCATTGGACAACATGGATTCAAGACCTTATGCAGCTTATGCAGTTGGTCTTTGGCAAAAATGGACCTGTTGGGGGTACTCGAATTCAATGCCTGGATCGGCTTGAAAGAAATTCATGCGAACGGGATGATTGCAGCAGGTTCTCAACTATTCTAGTATTCTAGTACATGTACAAAAGTCAGAAAGCAAATCTGCATAAATCTATCAAATCTGTGCGTGACTTACTTTGTCTCATACCAAATCCAGTAAAGTCTGGCCATGTCATACTGATGCGGCGCCTGCAGATTGTCCAGCTTTCCCAGTTGTACTGTTGGCCACCAAGTCCGTCAAAGACTCAGAACCAGAAGCAGATTGAGATTCTGATAAAATTCTGGATATTTGGGGAAGATGTGCAATTGCGGGTTGAGTGCCATGGATTCTGCACTGCCACAGATCAATTTAGATTTAGGATGTCAGGGGTGCTATGCTGTGCTGGGTTGGCGGACAAGTTGGATCACCTTCCGCCCGGCTTCCCTCAGCGCAGGTTAGGATGACTCTCTGCCCCACAGCTACCATTCGCAAAATCTTGACCAATCCTGCACCTCTTTCTACAAGAAGCCTCCACAATCCCGGAGAAGGCCGGGCCCTCCAATCAACTCCAACGGCATGCAGATTTGGATTCAAACCTGTTTCGGAACATATCCAGACTCCATATTTTGTGTTCAACCACATTGACAGCCAAAAATCATCCAAAAAAAACCCACATCCCCACTTGACCAAAAAAATGCTGGGTGAATCAGCGACTCCGCCCAGCGACTCTTTCGCTTGATGAATTCGATGAATATTTTCCACCACGGAGGACCTGAGTGGCTCACATCTGAAAGGTTGGAATGCGGAAAAATGGGTGATATGGTGACATAGTAGAGATATGTTGAGACATGTTGATGTGTCATGATGAGACCAGAATTTTCCGATTTTCAACATGTACCACTCTTTTCACTCCTTCTATCTTCACTTTACAATTCACACCATTTCACAGCGTTTCTTTGTGGAGGTTGAGGCTCCAACGCTTCGCTATCACAGAGGCATACGACCTGTCGACAAACAGCAAGTCATCAACAACTCGTGATCCACCGATCCACAGCCGCAACCCCGTAAACAGTAACTGTGACTGACTCCATCTAACTCCATCTAACTCCGTACCATTCCGTACCCTTCCGTACCATTCCGGACCGCATTTCACATCACTTCTGAAGCCTGAGGCCGTCACCGGCACTGCAGAACGATGAGTGCCCTCGGGTTCCAACAAACGTGGCAAGGACATGCAACGCAAAGGTGTAGCGTTGCCTGTGGCACCTGGCGAGACCAACTGGTTCCATAGGGACCTGGGCACCTTTATGGCCCAAAGAAATGCAGCAACCTGCACTACCTTGCTGGGTGCCATAGCTGAAACCTTCTTCCTTTGTTTCACACCTCTGTTTCTCTTGGTCACCCTCCGATGGGTCTGGCAAAAACTTCATGTCACGCTTTTTGTATCTTGTCAAACAAATATCCTAATGTATATTATATATTATATATTATATATTATATATGATATGATATGATATGATATGATGTATCCGAATCAAAACCTTCACAAAGCATGACAAACACCTCAGAAGTGGATGCAGCCGTGGCCTGCCACGATGAGTTCGGAGGCATGAAGGACAGCGCTTAAAGAAAAACTCGCTAAAACGCTGAAGAGGATCGTCTGCAAGAAGCCCTGAGTCCATCTGAAGTGACAAAGGTGACAGGTTCAAAACAGCTGGAACAAGCTAGACTTCATACATCTTTCAGGCTGAACTTTCCGAAGATTCACACAAACTGCACAAACTACAAACAAATCAAACAAAACATTGGATGACACTAAATCAAACTACATAAATTATACTATAAATCACTATAATAACACCAGTTCGTAACTCAAGCGCCACACGGAGCGGGCTTTGGCGCTGAGAATCCAACTGCACCACAAATGGTCTTCAGTGTCACGTGGGAAGGACCCTGCAAGGTGCAAGGTCTCAAGATGGTCCACCAAGGTCCACCGCAAACACAGCAAAGGTATGCCACTATGCCACAAAACGAGAAGTTGCATCACTTCATCAACACTTCATCAATTTTTTTCAACTTCATCTATCTTTTCATTTTTTTCTTATTTTTATCTTATTTCTATCTTTTCATATATTACTATTTTCGAAGTGAACAGTCGGCAACAGAGCCTGCGGCAACAGCGAGCTCAGCAACTCGTGGGGCAAGGAGGCCAGCAACGGCAGGTGCCTCGCCGAAAAACTGGAGAATCGTGGGAAGAAAATGAAAAAAACATGGAAAACACCAACGAAATTGGAATAAATTGGCACTAACGCACAACATAATTAGTAATGCCTTGTAATACTCGAACAATCGACATCATCAGCTTGCAGCAGCTTCCAAGTCTCTGACTCTGAGAGCGCATTGTGCCCCGTCATACCTTTGGACGGAAAGGTGCGGGGAAACATTAACATGACACCTGAAGCAGATCTTAAACATCTGGGCTTTGCTTTCCAGCACAACTAAGACGGACATGTTGCTCAGAATTCTCAAGTCCCAGAAGTATTACACACAACTTTTTGATCAGAATCGAAGTGTCTAGTGTATCATGCAAATCAAACATTTCACACACCTTGTTGAATCGCAGGCAGTCGCAGGCCTTTGCGGTAGTTCTGTGTAGCAATTGATTCGGCCCAGCGCGCCCAGGCGCCCGGGTCATTGTTCACGGAATCCTCCAGGCCTTTCACGGGGAAAATATATGCACGTCATGCCATTATGGTAAAACCATGCACCAAACCATCAACCACATCAACCATCAACATCATCAGCTATTTTTTGGGCGTATCCCAATGATTTTTGTCAGTAGCATTGAAAAGTTTGCGGCCATCTACACCTGACCGCCCTGATATTTTCACATATCATGCTGATCACAATCCATTCAGCTGGTATGACTTTGCTTGTGCTGGCAAAAATGACTGGTGTGGACAAAACTAAACGCTTCGCAGTATGACAATGATCTCCAATCATGCAGCATTTTCACGACCCCAAGCAACAGCTCTTTGCAGTTTGCAGTTGGCGGTTTCGACATCTGGGTGCTCCAAACGATCGACCAATGAACGCGCCTGCTTGCACCAAGGTGCTGAAGATATTATGTGAACGCGAGATTATGTACAAACACTTCGGGGTTGAAGTGACTCAAGTGACTCAAGTGTCAGAGAAACATGCGAACTATGATGAACTTATGATAAACTCTCATAAAGTATGTATGCTATCTAAACATATCCAAACATATCTAAATCATTACATCATATTACATCATATTAAATCATACTACATAGCATATCACATAGATCACATAGCATAGCTGTTTCAAGGTGGCACGGCCCTGGCACTGCCCTGGGCCTGAGGCTCCACATGAAGCTGCAACGTCCAGGGTCCACATGCGCCGTGTCCAAAGGACGCTCCAAAGTGCAACAGCAGCGAGAAGAGCTGTGGCGTATCCGCACCTGACCAACGTCACAACGTCACAGTTGGCGTTTTCAGATTTTTTTAAAAATAAATACAATCGTTTTTAGATTTTAATACGATGATAATATTCTAGTGATATCTAATGTATGCTCTAATGTATGATCTAATGTATAATGGTACCGATATCCTAACAGCAGGTCCAAGAGCCGGATCTCTTCAATTGAGATCCTAAGAGCCGGTTCATTGGCTTCATTGAAACCATTGAAATCAACAAAGCCCCGACATCCGGCACTGACCCCAGATTGTGCAAAGGCTGGACGGAGACAACGGCAGCAAAGTCTTTTTTCAGCGAGGGTGTCAAAATCCTACCATCTTGAAGCACTGAATTGGTCATGCTTCGTTTGACCGGAAACAATGCATTTATGTTTTCAATCAAATCATTCATATTATAATTTGATACATAACTCGTAGCCATTTTCAGATTTCTCAAGATCTGCAATTTTTTCGCCTTAAACCCTCGGAGAATACGGTGCCACCGCACCCGGTGGCGCCCCGTGGCACCTCCTTCAGCCACGTTCTCACCACCTTCGTCCACCGGTGTCACCAAATTCCGCGTGGAACGCCGGGCCATAAAATCCTTCGAACATTTCGAACTTTCGCTGAAACGAAGCAAAAGAAGCAAATGAAAAATAGAAAAACAGAAAAGGTAATGATTAGGTAATGGTGCAAAAGATGCGGCGCAAAGTGGTCCTTGTTTTCTCGATGAGGGGCCTCTGCCAACAAGTCCTGGAGCATCACGTGTTTCGCAGCGCCCGACGACTGGTGATGACTGGTGGCGACTGGTCAGCATCTCTCAGCATCTCTCAGCGCTCCTCCAGATGTTTCTCGTCAATTCCAAACAGCTCCATCCGATTCACACGGAACAAGTCCTGGCCAAAACTTCAATCGACGTGCTGTGTTTTGTTGTGATGGAAAAAAAGACCGGAAGTACACACATGGCCATTATGTTGCAAGAGTTCTTAAACCCTTTTGTAGCCCTGCATTGTCTAAAACACGTCTAAAACTAGACTAATCGCAATTCAGAACTAGTGCGGTATTATCTGGATTTCACATCTCAGATTTGCTGCGAGACCGGCAATGTTTGCCAACCGAATTCTGTCCCTGCTCTCCCACCCAAGCGCTCCGGCAAGGAGACAGACTCTTTTGACCTTTGATGGATTCTGCAGGTTGCAACGACCCATAACTCCATTCCTGTTGAAGAATGATCGACAGAAAAAAGGCCTGATGAAATGTGGATCTGTGGAAACACACGGTCACGGCGACGCTGTGTAAAAATGACCAGCGGACAAGCGCTAGTTAGCACTGAATCACAGATCTGGAACAGAAGGACAGCATGGAGGACTGAAGGTCCAAGGGAAGCTGCAACCATCCGTAACCAGTAAACATCATGAAACCACCAGGATTTACCAGCATCGTGTCACATGCCGTGGTGCCATGGCATGTGCATTCTGGGCTTCCCAGCTGCGCCTCAGGCGCCTCGTCACGGATACAGTGCTCCAGTTGACATCGCAGTGTCTCCTAGCTCCGCGGCTTTGCGTTTTGGTCGTGGCATGCCGTGGTGTTTCAACACGTTTCAACACAGTTCAACATAAGTAACATAAGTGCCTTGACAAATCTTGAAAATCAGCCAATTCCCAACTGAATTGGTAGAACAACAAGTGAGTTGCAAACATTGAAAACTCGAGAATCAACCATGATGCATAATTACTTGTGTTTTGGTACTGTCCCTAGTGCTTCCCAACTGACTGCTGCACCTGGAAATATGCGAACCGTGCCAGGAAAATCCTCAGTTCAAGCCATATGATGTCAACATCATTTTGGTGACTGTAAAAAGAAGAAGTAGTTTGCGAACAGAAACTACAAGCCGTCAGAAAGGCAGTAAATGGTGCGATCTTTAGATCTCTCTTGTTACCTTGGAGAGTATGACTGGAATGGTTTGAAGATCCAAGCTGATCTTTGTCGGGCCACAGTCCGTGCATGATGGATTTTTGGCTTCGCGCTGAGAACAATTTCGGGTATCTTGCAAACACATCACAGTAATATCACAAGATCCAAAGCTACAGTTTGCTGGCACTTCCCTTTTTTGCTAGAATGCAAATGCAACACCAGTCATTGCGTGCATGTCATCAACAGTACAGTAGCAACTGAACAATTAACCGAATAACCCTCTATATAATTGGGAAATCAAAATTAGGCCAAAACGATCCCGAAGTAGCCACACTTTGTGTTTCCTTCCCAAAACACCTTTCACCACCTTTCACCCAAGGTTCTGTTTGGAATTGCAGTGACTCCAATGTCCCTTGTTCGCGACGAAAAGTTGCTGCCTTGGATTGGCAGTCTAAGCGTCAAGAAATTCTCCGACCACACAGCAGACATTTTACAACTCAGTGCTCACATCCACGGGAACTACCACTGCACACCTTGCCGACCTTGCCAACCTTGCCGGATTTGCACCAAAGTAGCAGCCAAGCAACATCAATTCTGCACTAGTGTTCTGTGCCTCACCTGTGCTGAGCATGAGGGTTGTCATCAACCCCTGCTGAGCTATCTGCTTATCCCTATTGCTGACAGGGGTGCCAGGCTTTCGCTTCTCATATTTCTCATTTTAAAAACTAATATTTAATTAATGACAATTTATGGCACTTATATGCACTTATGATATCTTATGATCATTTATGACAAGTCACGACATCATCCTGACATCTCAACAGTCGGATTGGGATTCCCTTCTCGCCTGCAGCTCGCAAGGCTGCGGCCGTCTCCGCCGTGGAGCTGCGCCGTTTGGATGCAGAATGCTCCTGTTCTTCTTCCTCACGGAGAATGGAACACGAAAACGAAGATGACGAAGACCATCGAGACCATGTCCAACATTGTGAAACCACGTCTTTCATGGACCTTTCATGGACCTTTCATGTCTCTTTGTCGATTTCAAGGCAGTGATGGAGATTGTCATCTTTGAAAACACACTTTCAGATACTTTCAGCCTTTCAGCATTCTTTTCTTTTCTAACCCTTGTCTTGTTTGGCTCCCAAATCAGCTCGGCATCTATGCCCAAGGGCCTCCGATTCTTCATCCATTTCCGAGAAAGCCAAGTTCCCCAGGGACATCATGCTGCGGTTCACTGAAGCCATCCTGAACTTTTTACATCGCTTCGGCTTGATCATATTCCATCATATTCGATCCATCAACTAAACTAAACTAAACACCTGCAAATGATTCCATCCAACTTGTTAACAGCGCGATTCAATTCAAATCACATTACATCATCATGATCGCTCGGTTGTGTCATGTTGTGTCATCACATTTCCTCATCCTGATTCTCGAAGTTTTTTGTTCACGTTGCCGCCACAAAGACCCTCCATGACCCTCCCGAGTGCCAGACGTTTTGGAACCGCTGCGTGAGTCGGTGCCATTTGACCTCACCAAATGACACATGTGAAACGATAGATGAGACTTCTCGAAGCGCATTCAGGATCTTTTCAGGATCTTTTCAGGATCTTTCAGCGGTCAAGACTTGGACCCATTTGGACAGGTCTATGGTTCGAGTGAATCAACATCTCAACATCTTCACTTGTGTGGGTTCTCCGCCAAGGCGCTTCTTTGATGATTGCCGGCCAGTGCTGCCTTGTATTTCAAACCTCAGCACTGAATATGTGAGGTGAAACTGTCTCGAGTCTCTTGAACATCATAAACGGTTGATATCCAGTGAGAAATCTTGAAAAAACGCCACCGCACCACACAATTTGAAGAGTACAGTAGTACAGTATGCTTGTTGCATGCCATTTGCTATACTGCTTCATGCCAAAGGGCAAGGTCCGGAAAGAAGCTCTTGGATTCTGAGGCGCCCCTTCCTCGGCATACAGAAAACGAGATCCGAATATGCCCAAGAGGAATATCATCATTCGAAATCAAGAGGTGTGGACATGGTGTGGAAGATTGTGGAGCCACCGTGCTGATGTTCGGGCTTAATCCGTTCACCACGCTGCATTGCTTGGAAACCAATAGGTTGAGAAGTTCCAAGAACTGCAGGTACACAAAAGCATTTCGACCCTGAAATCACAAGATGCATCAAGATGCTAAGTTATGCGAAGTTGGTGGGCGAAACATTGCGAACCATCCGCATTCCCATTTTGCAACACCGATCTGCTGCCTTGGCATCCGAGGCACCACCTGTCGATACTGCTGCAAGGCATCTGACAATCCACGACCCTGTAGGATGGCCTGCGGTAAAGGGCTAAGGTGAGGCATTCCGCAACTTGAAAAGATTGAAACATGTTGAAACTGATGCAGTCAAATGGATACCAAATTGGATACCAACTGGCAGTAGGAACATCAAGTATAGCAATTTCAGTCATCAAACTTTATCAAACCTCATCAAACTCTTCGGTCCGGGTCAGCTGAGCCCAGCTGTCCCCAGTTGTCAACCGCCCAACTCCAAAGTGCGCCTGCATAGCAGAGCACCTCGGGCTAGAATGGGATACAACCATATTTACCAGTAGTACCGCACAAGGCGGTGGCGGAAGTTTCAGAAATAGGAAACCTATAGGGGAGGTTGGTTGTTGTGAATCAGGGAT